TTGTTAAACGGCTAACTCAATAATTTATTAGGAAAAATATTATGTGCAAGTCTTAAGATTTTGCCTCAGAGGTGGCACAAAGGGTTGAACAAACGAAATCTCGAGACCTTGGACAGTGTTTTTCTGGCTAAAATATTGAGTTAGCCCTTTTTAACAACACTAGAATACCTACTCCTATGAATTTCAAAACAATTTTTACTTGGACCTTTTAAACTTGATTTAATTTATATTTAATTTTCCATATACATATTTTTTTTTAAAATGACTCTAAAGGTTAACAGCAAAAAAATATCTTCTACAATTCATATGACAGGTGTTCCAAAAACATGTTAGAATATATTTCCGGTTAAAATCCCATTTCCCGTCCCGGCCCGAATTTATTTAAATTATAGAAATTAATTTTTTATAATTACTCAAAATAAAAGACATGTGTTATATGGCATTTAGTTTCTATAAATAAATGCAAATATTTTTTATTTTACAATAAAAAAATTCAATATAAAATTGATAAGTTCGGATATATTTTAAAAAAATTTCCAAGGTCCGACCCGGCACAACCGGATTTTTTTCAAAAAATATCCGACCCGGCACAACCGGATTTTTTTAAAAAACCGAGTCCGAAGCCCGTTTGGGCCGGGTACGGGCCGGGTACGGGCCGGGCTTACTTTTGCGGATCTCTGATAAATAACGCATTGCCGGAAATAATCACGCTAACATATATTACATATATTTGTTGCGAGGAAAATTTTAAATATAAGACCACAGTTAGCTATTTTTATATCACCAATCAGTAAAAAAAAATTTCGATTACATAAATATTATCCTTTTTATAAAATTAATAAGGATAAACATTTTTGTTTTTAGCCAATGGGACGTCAGATCGAAGCTTAGGTTAAACGTCTTTAAACTCAATATTTTATCCCGGGAACTTTTGCTCATAGTTACTTACAAAAGGTTTGGGATGTCTATTAGCGGATATCTCTAGGCTTGAGTCAATATTTTTCCGGCTAAAAATACTGAGTTAGCTTTTAAAGAGTCGACTCAAACCGAACCGTTTAAAGGTTATTATTGCAGCTAGTGTTGTTAAATTTTAAAAAAACGGCCCTATTTAAGATTATAGCCAAAATAGCATTATGTAAACCTATAAGATTTTGCGCATAGCTGGCAAAAAATGCTTGGGCATCTTATTTGCTAAAATCTCGATTGCTTATACATAGTATTATTTTAGCTAAAAATTCTTAGATCGGAACCCTTTTGGAATGGAATGGGAATTACAACAAAAAAAACAATATCCATTTCTAAATGTCAGAGTTGTTAAAAGATATTTTTTAAATGGATCTAGATACATATACATCGTCTAAAATAATATCTAGATACCGATATTTTATTCAAAAATCTATCTAGATACAGATACAGATACCACATTTTTATATCTATGTAACTAGATCCTTTAACAACTCTGCTAAATGTAATTTTTTTTTTTTATCCTTAAATTCACATCAAAAAAAAATTAAAAACTTCCCAAAAGTTAATTAAATTCTTGCCAAAAATTTAAAACACACTTGTAACAAATTAATTACGAAAAACAAGCCCAAATTTGTTTTTTTTTGCCGAATTTTCTGAAGAATATTAGGTTTAATTTTGATTTTTAAAAGTTCAAGGGGTTGGCAATATTTAATAATTTGAATCGATTCTTTATTATCCAGTATCTAATTCCTTAAGATTCTTAAGAGATCCTAATCCTTCCTTCCTTCCTTCCTTCCTTCCTTCCTTCCTTCCTTCCTTCCTTCCTTCCTTCCTTCCTTCCTTCCTTCCTTCCTTCCTTCCTTCCTTCCTTCCTTCCTTCCTTCCTTCCTTCCTTCCTTCCTTCCTTACACAAAAAATTAAACGATGACTGATGCCAGGCCAACCAATCAAAATTGACCGATAAATAATCTTTAAATAAATCGACTCCATCGTGCAAACGGAGGGTGAGGAGCGGTCGCGGCAGCCAACTATTTGAGAATCCGCCAAATTTTGATTTCTTAAAGCAGTTTAAAAAAATGAATTTGAAATTTATCTCATTTTTAAAAAAAGTGTACATATAAATTCAGTTATTTTATCACAAATTATAAATATTTTAACACATTATAATTGTACAAATATTACCT